GTTCCATAAAGGGACATCCCATCTTTCCCCCCTTTTTTCACCCCATTCCCTGCACCCCTAACTTTCCATGGCATCTTGGGCCTGTAATTCTGAGCTTCGATAGCATTCCGCTTTGACTTTACTCCAAGTCCCTTCCCCTTCCTCCACTTGCAGTCCTTCTCCATATTTTGGGGTTCTGCACTGTGTATGTTCTCTGCTCTGGCGGCCACGCGAAGGGGTTCTCAGAGCTCCTCCACGGGGAGTGAGCGAGCCCGGGCTGGCCATCACCACTGAGCACTGTTTTTACCAAACGTTGCTCTGCTGGGGTCCGTGCTGTGAGACATGCTCATCTGTCCGAATTCCAATAAGGGACGCGGAGACAGAAGTATGGGGAAAACGAGACTTTAATGCATTCTCGAGAGAGACTGGCGTCTGTCCCATTGTCCAGGCACACGTGGAGTAGCAATCACAGCCTTTTTACCCTCCCTCCTCCAGTTCCTCATTGGCTGAGTGTTATGGGGTCACCTGTTCCCCCATTGGTAGCCTAGATCTTATTGTCTCCCATTGGGTCATTAACAAAAATTGGGCTTAGGCCTTTTCTAGTTGCTGCCACCTCCCCCTGTCTAGTTGAGGCCGGGACCTGGGGGTTTCCACCATGATGCTGGCTCACGTCCACAGTCCTTTGTTCTTATATCCTCTTCCCTCCCCCCTACATTGCTTGTCATGGGGAAATTCAGTAACTGTTTCCATTAAAAGTTGACTATACTTGTGGTTTGACTCAGTGGATAGAGCATGGGCCTGCGAACTGAAGGGTCCCAGGTTCGATTCCGGTCAAGGGTATGTACCTGGGTTGCAGGCACATCCCCAGTAGGGAGTGTGCAGGAGGCAGCTGATTGATGTTTCTCTCTCATTGATGTTTCCAACTCTCTATCCCTCTCTCTTCCTCTCTGTAAAAAAATCAATAAAATATATTTAAAAAAAAAGTTGACTATGCTGGGGACGGACCACAGAGGCCTATTTCCTACAACGGCCTCCTCTCCCTGCTGGGTAGGGCCTCCTCTCTTGCTGCACATGCAGGCCTAGGAGTTTGTTTTCGGTGGACACCATTCCACAGCTGTGCCATAATCAGTGGCTAAGAAGGAAGGTGGCTCTCTCCCCTCCACATTCCCTGCTCAGGAGTGGGTCTCGGAGCAGAGCCCCTTGCTCCCGGGGGTTTATATTTAGAACAGATCTTTTCTTATTACTCGTCATGCTCCCTCCCTCTGTTGGACCAGACATGGGCACAGAGAGCTCAGCTGGGGCCGAGTCCAAAGGACAGTCACTCTGATATTCTAGGAACGGGTCCCTTCTCACCCTGGCTGTTAGAGCATCCTCCCCCACGCTGTTCCCAGCTCCCAGCTCTCCCTTCTTCTTCCTTCAACCCTCCCGAAGACATTTCACTGCTCAGAAGCTTTCCACAACTCATTCTTCTTCTTCTTTAAACATTTTTATTGATTTCAGAGAGGGAGGGAGGGAGAAGGCACGAGAGAAACATCAATGGCGAGAATCATGGGTCAGCTGCCTCCTGCACGCCCCACGCTGGGGATGGATCCCACAACCCCGGCATGTGCCCTTGACTGGACTTGAACCCGGGACCCTTCAGTTTGCAGGCCGACGCTCTACCCACTGAGCCAAACCGGCCAGGGCTCACTGCCTTCTTTTCCACCTGGAATAAAGTCCAAGCTCTCTGCACTTGGTTTAAGGCACTGTCCCCTCTGGCTTCAACGCCTCCCCCGCTCTTTCTCGATGCCCCCGGACTGACTCCTCCTCGCCTCTCCGCGTGCACACTGAGCTCAAGCCTCCTTTTCCCACTCCAACTGGTCTCTCTCGCCTCACCTCGGTGCTGGTCTTTCAGGTTTTTTTCATTCGTCTCTTTAGGACAGCGGTTCTCAACCTTGGCTGCACATTAGAATCACCTGGGAATCTTTTTAAAATCCTGATTTCTGGGCCTCAGCCTCCGGAAATTCTGTTTCTTTGTTATGGGGTGGGGCCACAACATTAGCAACAAAGAAACAGAATTTCCAGAGGATGAGGCCCCAAAATCAGGATTTTAAAAAGATTCCCAGGTGATTCTAATGTGAAGCCAAGGTTGAGAACCACTGGCCTAGAAGGAAGGCAGAACCACAGAGTCACAGAGAGGATGAGAGTTCTGCAATCCTGAGCAGTCTGTCCTGAAAAGTGCCCAGCCAACAGACCCCAGTGTCCCACCAGCTTGGACCAGCAGCTGTGCTTCTACTGGCTGAGAAGACGTTGCTCTGGAGGTTAGTGTCTTGAGGTTTAGAATGTGTTCTGGAGGAGCACGCTGCTCTGGAGGTTAGTGTCTTGAGGTTTAGAATGTGCTCTTCTACTCTCACAGGGAAATGCTCAGGTAAAATTAGTTTAAGATTCAAACTCAGAGAATGATGTAGCTCAGTTCAGATTGAAAACAGTCTACTGCTACAATTATGGAAAATTCATGCATAG